ACAACATCAATGTCAAGGTATTATCTCAGTTGGGGCCAGGCAGGGTTTCCACCACCAAAGCAACACTGATCATGAGATAACGATTCAACATTACATAACAAAAACAATCTATCGTGGATGACTATCAGTATTGACTAGAAACTATCAAATTATTTCACATAATAGGATTTTATTAGCCATGCCTGGAGCCACAAGCCTGTAACCTTAGCTATTCCGGAGATTTGAGCAGGACAACTGTATATTCCAGACATGCCTGGGCAATGGAGTTAAGGCCCTCTTTCAAATTTTAAGAAAAATATTGAGAAGGTTGGCATACTAGTTACGTTTCCTGTTGCTGTGATAAACACCATGGTGGAGGCAACTTACAGGAGAAAAGGTTTACTTGGGGCTTACAGCTGGGGGGAGGGAATAAAAGTCCATCACCACCATCAGATCAGGGAAGAGAGGCAGCAAGCACCAGGCCTGCCTGGGAGCTCGCATCTGTACCAACAACAAACAGGAAGCAGAGAGGGCACATCACGATGGAGGGGGTCCTGAGACTCTCAGAGTGGCCTGCTTCCTCCAGGAAGACCACACGTGCTATACCTCTCCAACAGCACCAACCCAGGACCAAGTACTCAAGTGCTAGAGAATTTACCATTCCAACCACCGCGAGAGCCAAAGTTACATTTTATGTTTTCATTACTGCGCCTAAGAGATCCATGAAACAAAAATGCCTCTAACCTGTAAGGCCCCTTGCCCAGGGACGGGACGGATACTTCCTGAAGTGCTGGAGGCTATTGTTTATGGGGGATAACAAGCTACAAGTTTTTGCTCCCCTAGACAAGTTTGTTTGACCCAACTATACCTGATGGTCACATGTAGGGGTGAGGTACGCAGGCAGGAAGTATGTCAGGATGTATGTTTGCCCCTGGTTGGACCTAATGGGAAATACGGTAGCCTTATGGGTGTGGCTTTATACATCTCAGCAAAATGTGACTCATCATCATTTCCTGGGAACCCTGAAGGGACCTGGCCAGAGTCCATTAACCTGGCCAGTATTTAATTAAAGCTTGCTTCAAATCCGGCTTTAAACTGGGGTAGTGGTCTTATTCTTGACCGGTGGGACTAACAGCACCACACTGTGAATAGACCTCAGTGGCAGAAGCAGAGAGAAGGAAGGAAAGAAGGGAGGTAGGGAGAAAAGAGGAAGAAAGGGGTTTTATCAGAGACCATTTGTTTTTATTATTTAAAAAGAGAGGGCTTGTTTGGAGGTGGGGATGAAACCCAGGGCCTTGAGCACGCTAAGCACATACTCTGCTACTGACATACATCACCCAAGTTCTCACATTAAAAACATAACAATAATTCAACCAGATGGTGGTGGTGGCGCACGCCTCTAGTCCCAGCACTCAGGAGGCAGAGCCAGGTGGATCTCTGAGTTCGAGGCCAGCCTGGTCTACAGAGCGAGTTCCAGGAAAGCAAGGGCTACACAGAGAAACTGTGTCTCAAAAAACAAACAAACAAACAAACAAAAATGTGTATTTGAAAAGAAGATTCTCATTCTCAGCCAAGACGGCAAAGTAGGAGCTGCATTTGCCTCCTGTGGTTGGCTGAATAAACAAGCCCCAAATCACTGGAATCTGTGGGTGTTACAAAAGAGACTTTGCAGACTAAGGATCTTAAGGTGGGGAGACTCTACCCGACACCCGAGGGCACCGAGGGCACTAACAGTGTCTGTGTCCGAAGGCACAGGCAGAGGGTGTCTGACATCACTGCCCTGCTGGTTCCGGAATGGAAAGGAGGGCTGCGAGCCAGAAAAGGCAAGGAATGAAGCCCCAGGAGCTGGACAAGGCAGGGAGCACATTTTTCTGCCAGGGGCCTCTGGAGGGAGCAGGCCCCGCCAACACCTTGACCTCGGCCAGGATAACTGATTTCAGATTTCTGAACTGCAGAACCATAGGGGAACAAATGTTTTCACCTGTCAGATTTGTGATCATTTTTATGATGATCACAGGAAACTAACATACTACTCCCCCTTAAAACAAAACCAAGGACCAAATATATAAAACAAGCTTTCAGACATGGCACAACAGGAAGCGGAAAATGCTGGCCCCCGAGAGGAGGAGCACACACACACACACACACACACACACACACACACACACTCACTCACACACACACTCATACACACACACTCACACTCTCACACACACACCCAGCATTGCTCTCACCTGTGCTAATAGTTTCAAAGCCTTAGCACAAGGAACTTGAACTCAAATCAGGCCAGATGCTCT